GGACCCTGAGACCAGGGTTTTGGTACAAGTTGTTCATTGGCGAGGTGCTCCAGGAAGCACGGTGCAGAGTGGAGAAATGAGACCAGGAGGGAAGAGAGCCAGCAAAGGATGTGTGAGTGAGCAGGTTACCACTCTGGGCACCGGGCAGGAGCGCACTGCGGAGCCTCCAGGAGACTGTGTAGAACAGACTTTAGAATGGTCCCGCTCACGGTGGAGGAAACTGGGGTATTTATCCACCAACTCCTGCCCCTCATTGGCGATAACTTCTGCGAGTAATTTCCCACACTTTAGGCCTAACTAGTGCAAAGACCAGAAAATACCCTCAAGCTAAGAGATACAGGGGCTTGCGAGAGGAAACCTTTGTGTACCAGGGAGCTGTCCACTTACACTGCAGTGATCTGAGCTGAGGAGTGGGATGGGACAAGGACAGCATCTGCTACAGCTGCCGGCATATAAAAATCAGCAGATTTCTCACAAGACTCTGCTTTCTGACTTCTCATAAAAATATCAGACAATCCAGGCTTGCATTCCCACATGGAATGGCAAGTTGCTGCCCCTTCAGAGGGGGCACTGGGCTCTCTAGTGTGCCACAGTTCCCACCACTCCCAGATGTCTCCCGCTGGAAGCCTATAATTAGGTCTTTGTTTGTTTGTTTTATTCTTTAACACCCAACCCACTTCCCTCCTCCATGTTACCTGCCTGGCCCCTCCAGGAAGGAGCCTGAGTTTGTTCTCCTTTGAGGAGGAGACAGACTGATGCTGCACACAGGCAAGTAGCCTTCAAGTTGGCATTTGGTTTCCAGGGACCAAACCTTTAAATATGAAGCTGTAACAGGAAGCTGGAGGCCTTTCTTGACAACCTGCCCAGCTCTCATTATGACATTTAGCCTGTGATTGATATTGTGTATGTCATCAAGACCTTGGCAGTTAATCTCTGGGTCGAATCTATGGAAACCAAACAGATTTGTCTTCTCCTTCCATTTTGGCTGTGATCTGGGAAACAGACGCTCCCAGCCTCTCTGAGATTCAGAGATTTGGGAGCCATGCAGAGAGGGATGCACACAGGCCGCCTTCAGGATTTGGAAAGATTACAGGTCTGTGGTTTCTGGACGGCTCTGTGCTTTGTTCTCTTTCCCCATCAAATCTGCACGCCGGAGGATAATAGATCCCAGAGCTCCCTCTGCGTGCCAAGCCACTCTGGGTAGACCACACCACTTCCTCTTCTGTCTGGAAATCCAGCCGAGGCTTTCAGCACGGGGATGGGGATGGGGATGGCTCCTTCCACAGTATAATGAAGGAGGAAGGGCCTCAGCAAGGGTGAGGTCAGCTTCAGTGATCAAAGGAGGCAGGCAGAGGTTTCAGAATGCAATTTACTCCAGTGTCTCCCTAAATCACCTCTTCTGAAGCCTCCTTTAGTGGCAGGCAGGGTTCAAAATGGCCTAAACCTCCTAATTTAGGTGCATGGTGCCCAGCTTCTACTCATTTTGAAACAAGAAGAGTTGGTGCCATGGACAGGCTGAGCTCCAGACCTCTCAGAATTAAGCTGCCTGTGGACCTGAAGCAAGGAGAGCTCTAACTGCACTCTTAGGAGCCTGAGGGGTCTGTGCTGGTGCCCGCCTCAGAAGTTTCTGGCCATCCCTTGAAACAACTCCCCACTTTGTGACTGGAAACGCCAGCAGGCAGACTCCAGAGTGGAGTTCAGGCCTGAGCAACCATCCGCTACAGGGGTTGGTCTGTCCTGTATTCTGCACTCCGCTCACCTTTACCCCTCCTCCAAATTAGCCCAGAGGCTCAGTCCCGCCTCATCAGCTCTGACTGAGTCCCTAGCACAGGCCTCACAGTCCTTTTTTTAGTCACTCACTCAGTAATTCATTCACTCATTTCACTCATTCACGAAGCCATTCCCTCATTCAACAAATACTTTCTGAACACCTCCTCCGTGTCAGACACTGAGGCTACAGAGATAAACAACACTAAGGAACCATCTCCAAGGAGCCCAGAGCAAGGTTATCCAGCCCCTCACTCCTCCCGGTCCTGCACCCTTCTTCTGGCCTCCACTTCAACGAGAAGATGGAAAGCATATTGAGCACCCTTACTACCCTTCTCTTGACTTACCAGCTCCTGATTCTTTAGCCGTACTACTCTTGGGCAATTATTATCAAACGTGACCGAGCATCAGACTCACTTGGGAGCTTGTTAAAATACAGGCTCTTAGGCCCCTAGCCCCAGTTCAGGGTGCAACCCAGGAATCTATTTTTAGCAAGTGCTGGGTAATTCTGAGGGAAGTGGTCTTTAGATCACGCTTTGACAGACCCCAAAGAAGGGTCACCTCTGCTGCCTATTGCCCTCATCCCCCAACTCAGGATCTTGCAGGAGCAAGTCATAGATCCTGGCTTCTCAGGATCCTCAAAGACACACACCGCTAGCTAGTGCTCCTTTAATTCACCTCCTGTGAACTTGAGAGAAGCAAATTCCCCGGAGCAGTGCTTTCAGCCCTTTCCTTTTCCTCTTAAAAATTTTTTTATGGAAATTTGAAACACAAAGAGAAACAGTAACTATTTTACAACCATCATCCAACCGCAAGCACCATCATCCATGGCCAATCCTGCCTCATCACACCTCCACCTATACCCCCCACCCCACACACAATATATTACTACATTTTCCAACTATATCATTTTTGAAGCAAACCCCAGACATCACATCATTTCATCTGTATTTCAGTATGTATTTCTAAAAGATAAGGCCCTGTGGTATAATTTAACTGTCCTCTGAATCTCCTGCAAATTGGTTGTTAGATCTAGACTCTGAGGACTCTGATCAAACATTCAGGTTTTTCTTTGGTGAGACTACTTTTGTGGTGGTGGTGCGTTCTTCCATCAGAAGGCCCATAATGTCTGATCATCTCTCCTTATGTTGCTAGCAGTCAGTGTTCAATGCCTACCTCCATTAGCTCATCGGGTGTTATAAAATGGTGCTTTCTTCCTTCTTTATTATCTGGAATACGTCTATAAAAGAGAAAATTTCCCTCATCTACCCAGTAGTACAGTTTGTATCAGAAAGGAACAATAAATGCTGGATTCTTTCCCTTTACTATCTGTCTTCAAAATAATGAGCTGGTTCCCCAGCATCTTCCAACAGTGAATAATTGTTTTAAGTAACATTACAATTTAAATGTTTGATGTTTCAATGCACTGCAATTATTTTTATTACTCATGTTCAAATTTTTCCATTTTTGACAAGAGGGAGCCTCTTGGAGTTGTATCCTGAGTCCTTTTCACATGATCCTAGCGGTCTTTGAAACTACCAACCCTTTTTCACATTCTTCAAATCCCTGGCCTGCCTCTCCTCACACTGCATCCCCCCAGCCCCACCTCCTCTCTCTCAGGAATTACTTCTTCTCAGAAGACAGAGACCATGTGTTACAAACATTCTCAATTTACAATTTTCCTCATCTGTACAATGGAGATAATAATAAGCACCTATCTCCTAGGGTTGTTAAGAAGATTAAATAAATTAATAATTATAAAGCACTTCGATCAGTGCCTGGCACAAAATATGTGCTACATAAATACTTGCTAACTAAATAAATATTCCCTCCCCATCACCCACTTCCGTGTTCCTCAGTTACCCAATTCTTTTCTCCTTCCCCGCAGTCTCAGAGCACCAGGAGTAGAACTTCCCTTCCCTCCCCAGGCTGTCTGAGTGTAGATGTATCAGTCGCTCAGCTCAGAGAACAAACCCGCCCAATTCCACAGTTAATTCATCTCCTTGGGGACAGCGGCCTTTCTTCTCCTGCATTCCACTTGCAGAGTCTGACAAGCTCTCCAAATACACGTTTCAATCTGCAAAACACAGCTCTCTAGCTTGGAACATCTCTTCTGATCCCCTGGTAAGTCAGCACAACCGCCAGCCCCCTAGTGTGTGAGCGGCAAATATTGACTTCAACTGTCCTAACTAGCTGACTAAGCCTCATGCAGCCAAATCTTCTTCCACTCTGTTGGCCTAAAACAAATAAACACTCAGTTATTCTACCAACAAAATGGCTTTATTCTGGAACAGCAAGGAATTGGAATTTGTGACACGAGGTCTACGGTAAACCTCAGGCAAGTCCGGAAAAACAAAGGGGAGAAACATTCTTTTACAAAATTGGGCGGGGCTGTTATAAACAGAGAGTCCATTGGAGCAAACTGGGAATTTGAAGTATAGTGGCTTTTCATTGGCTGACTTATGGCAGTCTCTCATTGGCTGAGCTGTTGCTGGGCAAGGAGGAATTTCTTCCTTCCTTCTGCTGGCGAAGTAAAGTAGTATCACTTCCTGTCTAGAGATGCAAGGTACGGCTCTTCCCTTCCAGGTCTACAGTGTGTGTTGAGTGGCACGTGCAAGAGTTCTCTGTTCTGGCCTCCTGACTCCATTTTAAATGAGGTTTCTGTTTATTAATTTTCACAACCCCAAGGCTGCTGAAGCCCGGAGAATGTGTCTGGCTGCCCAGACAACATAGCCTCTGGATTTCTAGGGGTACCCATTCCACTGGCCATTGGCTCTCTGCAAATGTTAAGTACCAGAGTCCTGGAATGGCAGAGGCTGTCTGGGCCTTCCTATTCCGGTTCAAAATGGCCCAAACCAGCAGATTGGAGTCAGAAAAAGGAAAAAGTAGGCACCAAAGAAGAGGTAAAATCTAAAGGAAAAGAAGCAAGGGACTGGCTGCCTGCAGGGATTTCTTAAGCCCGAAGCACATCTCCAGTCTGCTGCAAATCCTCCTCGGCCCACATCAGAGGGTGCCCAGCACTCTTGCTCTGGCGGAGACTGGAGTGTTGAGGAAGTGTTGTTTAACTGTCACCATGGCCTTCTTTGTGGCCTGGGAAGAGGAAGCAGGAGCACAGCAGGCCAGGAAAATGTCTGCCAAAACTTAAGATCAGCTTATTCCCACCTCTCTTTGTAAAGCCCATTTCCTACCTCTGTTCCCTGCTAACCCCAATTCTGACCCTCTCTCATGACCAGCTGCAGAAAGGAAAGCAAATCCCTGGGCTCCAAGATGACATCCGGAGAACCGAAGACGAGCCTCAAGAATGCCTACCCATCTGCCAGGAGGCTGCTGCAGAAGGCAGAGGAGGGGGAGGCGGAAGACTACTGTACCCCCGGAGCCTTCGAGCTGGAGCGTCTCTTCTGGAAGGGCAGTCCTCAGTACACCCACGTCAATGAGGTCTGGCCCAAGCTGTACATCGGTGATGAGTAAGTGCCCAGGTCAATCCTCACCTTCAGCCTCGCCCAGGAGAAGGTCCCCAGCCCCTCCCCAGATCACACCTCTCACCACCTCTTCACCCTGAGCTTTTGCTTTTTAGGTTAGTTGTTTTGTGAGAACTCTTTTAGTTAGGGCTAGGGTCATTTTCATGTTGCAGAAAACTCAGAAAAGGGGCTTAAGCAAGATAGAGTTTTATTTCCCTCTCACATAAAAGAAGTCCAGAGGAAGGCAAGTTGGGGCTGTTATGGCAACTCTAGGGTCTTCAGGAGCTTAGGCTCCTGTGCTTCTGCTCCACCATCCCAAGGTCATGGCTTCCTTCCTCAAGGTTGCTGCATGGGCCAAGATTACTGACAGGGCTCCAGCGATTATCTGTAGGATCCAGACCACAGGAAGGTAGAGGGAAAAGAAGAGCAAAAGGGCATCTTTCCAAAGGGAAGTCCCACCTAAGACTTCCCCTGCCCTTAGCTGCAAGGGATGCTGGGAAATGTAGTTTTTTATTTTAGGTGGTTATAATACCGGCAAGAATAAAGTCAGTTCTCAGTTTGGTGGCACAGGAGCACATCAACCTATGTGCCAGGAAGCACAGGCCTAGCAAAGTTGAGGTTGCTGTCCCGTCCTCTAGATTTTTATAGCCACCATTCCCCACTCTGTAAGCAATTGGGAAGTGCCTACTGTAAATAATATTAATAATAATAATAATGCCTATCATTTATTGAATACCATGTGCCAGGCACTGTGCTAAGCATCTTGCATGTATAATCTCATTTTATTCTCACCATAGCCAAATGAAAGAGGTCATCTAATTACTCCCATTTTAAAGACAAGGAAACTGAGGTACAGACCAGTTAAGTAACTGGCCCAAGGTCCTACAGCTCAGTAGGTGGCAGAGAGCTAGATTCGAACGCAGCCCAACCCAGAAGCTTTCATCTTTAACTAGCACTCCTACTCTGCCCTCCATCCCCCAGATTCCAGCTCACATTCCATCTCTCCAAGGAGCAGATGGTACAGGCCCCCTGCATGTGTGATTTTAATACACGACGTGCTGCTTAAAACCTAAAGAGAATCGTCTAGTCGTGGGAAGATCAAGGGTCTCTTTTTTCCTTAATATTTTTAAATTGAAAAAGTTACAAAAATTATATGCCTTTTTATACTAAATTAAACTAAACAGAGGGTTATAAAAACAAACTGCATAATCTCCCTTTGTCCTCTCTTAATTTTGCCACTAACTAGTATTAAGTTTACTTGCATACTTCTACTACTTTATGTATGCTAATGCAAACATATAAAAGGTTTTCATTTCTTTTAAATACTCTTTAGCGGAAAAAAAAAAGGAATCATACTATTCTGTACTTTTACTATTCCATAGGATAGCTGTACCACAATTTATCCAGTCTTTTCCCAGTGTGAACATTAGGGGAACCTAGGTGAGGGGTGTATAGGGACTCTATGTACTGTTGTTTTTTTTAAAAATAATAGCTTTATTGGAATATAACTCACATTCCATAAAATTCACTCTTTTAAAGTGTACAAGTGTACAATTCAGTGGTTTTATTATATTCACAGAGTTGTGCACCCATCACCACTATCTAGTTTCAAAGCAGTTTCATCACCTTGAATTATTTTCGAACCCATTAAGTAATCACTCTGCATTCTCCATCTTCCCCCAGTCTTAGGCAGCCACCAGTCGGCTTTCTGTTTCTCTGGATTTACCTATTCCGGACATTTCATATAAATGGAATCATAATATCTGACCTTTTGTGACTGGCTTCTCTCACTTAGCATAATGTTTTCAAGCTTCATCCAAGTTGTAGCATGTGTCAGTATTTTGTTCTTTTTATTGCCAAATAATCTCTGTAACGTTTTTAAGTCTAAAATTAGTTCAAAATAAAAATGGTACACATACTCCTTGACTCCAAATATCACTTTAAGAAATGTAATTTACAGGGGCCGGCCCTGTGGCGTAGTGGTTAAGTGCACACGCTCCGCTTCAGCGGCCCAAGGTTCACAGCTTCGGATCCCGGGCACGCGCCAACGCCCCACTTGTCAGGCCATGCTGTGGCAGCGTCCCACATAAAGTGGAGGAAGATCGGCACGGATGTTAGCTCAGGGCCAGTCTTCCTCAGCAAAAAGAGGCGGATTGGCATGGATGTTAGCACAGGGCTGATCTTCCTCACCAAAAAAAAAAAAAAGAAGAAATGTAATTTACAGAAATGAGTACCAATGCATAAGGAAATATGCACAACAATGTTTATTTTAACACTGTTTGAAGTAGCAAAAAAAAACAAAGAGGAGGAAACCTGAATCTCTTATCCTTTAATAATAAAATATTCACTACATGTAGTAAATACATGTTTTTTCTAGTATAAAAGTAATATATGCTCATTATATAAATATAGAAGTCTTAGTTTCTCTATTTGTAGTAGTTTAATGAGAACCTTTCTCATAGGGTTGTACAGATTAAGTGAGATAATATATGTAAAATATTAGTGCAGTGCCTAGTACACAGTAAACACTCAACAAAGGCTAGCTGTAATAATAAAATAGTGATTAATGTATGGAAGAAAACTTTTAAATCTCCCAGAACAATAACCAAAGCCCATTACTCTGAAGCCACTCTTATTAATATTTCAGTATATTTCCTTCTAGACTTTCTGTGTATTATTTTTGGTTTTGAAATTTGTTTTTATATAGTTGTAACCATATTGATTATTCATTTTTTCCACATAGCATCATTCATAAACTCTTCCCTTATTATATACTTCTCATATATTTAATATAATACTATATATTATGTATGTAATATATATTATAATTATATATATAATGATATATCAGATGGATATAAGATCATTTATTTAACCACTTCCCTATTGTTGGACATATCAGTTATTTCCATGTTCTCAATTTTATAAATAATGCTGCAGTGGACATCTTTATGCATAAAAATTTTTTCATATGTAGGATTATTTGCTTAGATCTGACCCTAAAAATGGTATAACCAGGGGAAGGGGGATTGAGATTTTAAGATTTACACTGTCTCTGTGTCTTTATCTATGCTGTTCCCTTTGTCTAAAATGCCTTCCTTTCACCTCATCTCTGTTTCCAAATCCTATGCGTTCTTCAAAGTCCACTCACGTTAGTTCTGCCATGAAGCTAGCTTTCCCCAATCCCCATAGTGAGAAGAAAGTTTTTTCTCTCTGTACTGTATTATTTACCTTTCCAACAGCTTATAATAGTAATAACAGCTAATTGTGTTGGATTCTCACCATGGGCCATGCCCTGTGCTAGGCATCATTTAACCTCCACAATGACCCTATGAACGAGGTACCATTATTACTCCCATTTTACAAATGGGCAAACCAAGCCTCAGAGAGTTCATCCATTTAGTTAGTCAGTCAGTATTTACTGGGCACTTTACTAGGAGCTGTGGGGGACACAAAGAGGAAACTGAGGCTCAGAGAAATTAAGTGACCAGCCCAAGGTCACCCATCAGTCAGTGGTAGAATTTATATGCAAACCCAGATCAAGAATATGTGGTCAGTCAGATAAAGAAGGTGTTTTGCAGTTGAGGAGAAGAGGTGTGTAGAAATGTAACAGGGAACAGAGAGAGAAGGGGGTGGGGGGATGGAGTGTGGGGTTTGAGTCTTGGCTCTGCCAGTTACCATTTGTGTGATCTTGGACAAGTTGTTTTACCTCCCTTCTCCTTGTATGGCCACGGTAATAGGGCTTATCTCACAGTGTGAAGATTAGATGAATTAAAACAAGTGAAGTGCTCGAGTAGTAGCTGGCACATAGTAAACACTCAGTAAGTGCTTGGTATTATTATGGACCTGAGAAAGCGTCACAGAAGAGGTGACTCCCAAGCTTGACTCTAGAAGATGGGTAGGATTTCAACAAAATTCCAGGCAGGAGGAGCAGGATGAGAAAAGGCATAAAGGTGAGAGCAAACAGGGCAATTTATCTGGAATACAGGGAATGAATGTGGGAGAAAGGGCACTTGCAGAAGGTCTGGGACTAAGCCAAGTTTTACCACTGTGTGGTCAGCCTAGATTTAGCCGTGCAGTGGTAACAGGTGACCCCAACATCTCGGTGGCCTACCACAACGTTTATTTCTCACTCACGTGACATGTCCATGGTGGACATGCCGGCCGGTTCTAACTATGCTTCATGTCCACTTTACTCCAGGACCCAGGACTCAGAAGTAGCCGTTATCTGAGATTTTGGCAGAGAGAAAAGAGATGGCGAACCACAAGCTGACTCAGAAGTGACACAAGCCACTTATGCCCACATTTCATTAGCCAAAGCAAGTCCACGCCAAAGCTTCATGTCAATGGGGCAGGAAAGTGTAACCTACCCCTAGGGAGGGGCAGCAGATATTGCAAATGATAACACAGTCTGTCACAGCCACAATCTACTCCCGGTGTAGAGGCTCCGGGCAGGTTCTTTCACCTTTCTGGGCCTATGTCCTCATCTCTAAAAATGGTTACAGAGAAGATTAAAAGAAATATGGAATGTGAAAGCATTTTGTAAATTATAAAGTAATAGACAAATGCAAATGTTATTATTATTGTTATTAGTGAGGAAGAAACCTGGGAAGGTAGGTCAGGGCCTGCTTGTGGAAGGCTGAGTGCCAGCCAAGGGACTTTATTCAGGAAGCCATTGAGAGTGTTTGAGCAGGACAGACATGTTCTAGTTAATAGCTTTCCAGACAATCGAGTTTGATGCAATAAGATATGCTTGCCTCCTTGATATGTGACCATAACCTTGCTTCTTTCAACCAAGAAAATGTCACTGCCCTTTCGATTCAATCCAGCTCTGTCTAATCGAGCCTCAAAACAAACACACACACACACACGCAGTCTAGGCAGGCTCCACGGTCAGCATGCGTGACCTGCGTGCACAGCAGGGGTAGGGGGCTAAAGTCAGCATCGCGTGGTGTTTGTCCCCTTCTCTGCTTATGGTCCCTCCTAGATACCCACTTCACAAGGTG